GTAAAGCATGCATGAGAAGATGATAATTGTGCTGTGGACAAATGATGTTCAATGGGGTACTTGGGAAATGTTCCAGAAATGTCATCAGGGTCCTCAGTGTATGTAAGGTTAGTGGCTGAGGAGTTGGGAAGGGAATGTTTGTACACATTAAGATAGGATGGTATATTTCTTATTCTAGATGATCTTCTGGTAGTAGAGGCATCTGGAATGGGTTGATTTATAGGAGGAACAATTTGGTTGTTTGTAAGAGTAATTTGGTTCTGATCAGGTTGGTTTTGTGTATTTGTAGGATTAGGTTGGTTACTTATATGGGTATTGGGGACTGTTTGATGGTGTAAATGATCAAAAGGAAAATCTGGAGGAGTGGGAAACATTGAAGAGGAATTATGATCAGTAGGTGAAAGGTTTTGAAATGGTAGGATATGTTCATAGAAGATGACATTTCTGGAGATTATGATTTTCTTGGTATCCAAGTTGTAAAGCCTATAACCTTTACAACCGAGTGGATAGCCAAGCAATATGCATTTTGAAGCTCTAGATGCAAACTTAGTTCTACCCTGTTGTAAAGTAGATGCATAGCATAATGATCCTATGACTTTGAAATGTTCATAGGAAGGTTTCTTTTGAAATAGGAGTTCAAAGGGAGATTTGCCATGAATGACACTAGAAGGGATTCTGTTTATGATATGAGCAGCAGCAGTTATGCAATCAATCCAGAAATGCAATGGTAAATGAGCATGAAACATAATGGCCCTAGCTACTTGTAGTAAATGCTGATGTTTCCTCTCAACTCTACCATTTTGCTGTGGTGTCTCAACACATGCTGTCTGATGAATAATGCCATGAGAATGATAAAAATCATGCAAGAGAAACTCAGTACCATTGTCTGTTCTTATGGACAAAATTTTCTTATTAAATTGAGTGGAAACTAAGTTGTAAAAATGTTGCAGGTAATAATGAGTATCAGACTTGAGAACCAAAGGATATATCCATGTTGTCCTACTGTAATCATCTAAAATGGTGAGAAAATATTTATGACCAGAAACAGAGGGCACAGAAAATGGACCCCAGAGGTCACAATGAATCAACTCAAATGCAGCAGATGCAACAGATGTGCTTATACTAAATGGTAATCTCTTTTGTCTGCTGAAATGACAAATATCACATGGATTATTAAAATGAGACTTGCAATTGATGGATAAAGGTAAAAGAGCAAGTTTATGATATGATAAGTGTCCAAGTCTTGCATGCCAGAGTTCAGAATCAGTAGAAGATATATGTGCAACAGAGGATACAAGGTTATCAGATGAGTTGGTGACAGGTGATACATGGTTATCAGATGAGTTTATGACAGGTGATACATGGTTATCAGATGACTTTATGACAGGTGATACATGGTTATCAGATGATACATGGTTATCAGAAACAACATTGCAGTCAGATTGTAAGGACAGATGATATAGTCCATGCTTTGTTTCAGCAAAACCAATCATTTTGTTGGTTTTGAGATCCTGTAAAATGCAATAAGTAGACAAGAAATTGACAGCACAGTTATTGGTAGAAGTTAGCTTAGAAACAGATATAAGGTTGAAAGTAAAGGATGGAACAAACAAGACATTCTGCAGCACAAGATTAGGTCCCAGATTTATCTGTCCCACATGGCATGCAGAAGTATGTTGTCCATTTGGCAAATTAATGTTGATAGAAACAGATTTAGGTGGAGAAGTAAATAGAGAAAAATCACAAATCATATGATC